GTACACTAACGACCCCTTTCAAGGCAGGCGAAATTGTAGACTTGGAGAATACAGAAAAATCTCACTGCACGTATAAGTACCATAAAGCACCTCAGTTACTGGGCATGGTTGAAATCTTTGATCTGTACACCTTGGAACGCAGGCGATAAAGATACATCATAATTTGCACTTGGAAAATCCTAGAGGGACTAGTCCCAAATCTGCACACGGAAATAATTCCCTACGAAAGCAAGAGTCGGTAGGCGGTGCAACATCCTCCCAAGGAAAAGCAGGAGCGCCATGAGTACGCTAAAAGATAACAAGTGTCAGGGAGGCTTACCATTAGACTCCTACCTGTCTTCAAAAGGGAGCTGGACAGATGCCTAAAGTTTATACTTGACCAGCCGGGCTGTGGTTCGTACATTGGATTGCTTGCGGCCGGCAGTTAGTCTGGTTGATCAGGCCCTGATCCATCGCGAGGCGTGGTCACATGAACATGCCAATTTTGTTCCAAGAATTTGGCCCCAATTATTGTTCAGTGTTGAAATTTTTAAGGCATTTGGTTGAGGCGTTTTCGAGTTGGCGACATGAAATCGAAAAGTTGTAGGAAGGGAAAAAATCAAGCAACCTCATAAAGGTACCTCTTCGGCGATACTCGATTATTAATATTTACTTAAAAGCGTAAACTCTTGTGGGTCTTTCAGCGCGAAGAGTGGTGGATTTTTTTTTATAATTACCGTATATGCATGGGGAAACGCTTGAAAGATATTGGAGGCCCGTTCCTGTTATTGCTAATCTTGTTCCTCGGTTTGTTAGTCACGGCCTGATTATTGACTGATTACAGGCTGTTGTTAAGTTTATGTACATTTCTGAGTGACCTACGGTAGAGCTTGGGTAAGGCCTGGTGGGTACTGTGAATCAGGTGAGCAGACAGTGAATGGAATAGGTCTGGTCTTGTAAACATTCGCCAGAATACGTCCTGACACGGGTCTTAATCGTATGACGACCCGTCACTGGCTCCCGAGGGAGTGTCGTTGATGCAGCACATGACTGCATTCAGCGCCGATAGCCTGGAAAAACGGTAGGTTGAGAGTAGGGAATTTCAGTCCCGCCACTGAAGCTTGTCCGTGATCACGACTGCTCTGACGTGGCCATTTCACTTGCCAGGTGCACAACCTGAGTGTTCTTGGTAGTTGTCGGCCGTAACAACGCTCGTGGTCATGGTGATCATTCCAAACTGACAGTCGTCTTCAAGGTAGGTTCAGCCCCATCTACGCCCACACAGGGCTCGTAGGGAGAAGCTAAACAGGTCTTCATGGGTGTAGCACTGCAACAGTCGTCTGCTATGGCGTAAGTGGCGTCTCAGTTCGGTGATTTTCCTAGGTGTGAGCATTCTCAAGCTTGTCTGCTACCTACCCCATCCACACGGGGCTCGTTGAGCGTAGCAGACACGGTGGTACAGCAGGAGACAGGGTTGAGGTTCTGGGCGACGTGGATGATGAATGCACCCTGACCTTGGACCCATCCTGGGCAATGGAGTATATGCCAGAAGACTCGCAATACAGCTACTCGGGCTCCATGCACACGTAAGCTGTTGCCGTGATCAGTTAATAACTAAAATTACATGAATAGTTCAAACTGCTTATAAATATATTACAAGTGCTTGTTTTTTTCATACAACAGCAGCGAACCTATCTAAAAGCCCCTGTTGACCTAGCAGTAATTAAGTACCTGGCTGTTAGTCGACAGTTGTGTGTGGCATCCTGGGGGTGGGCTTTTAAATGAACAGAGGTAGGATAACAGCTCTTAGTCTGTAAATTAAACTAAAAAAGAGCAATTTCTGACTTCCTGGTCTCGATTGAAGTTCCTCCATCTGGGCTGCCATTGCATCTATTTCTACTGGCTGGATCAGGTTAGTACGTAGCACAAAAGGGGATGACATCATCTCCTGAAGGATGTTCTGAGGACTCTTCACGATCGCCATCCCTCATGCCGTGTAGTGCGTCACACACTGGTGTCTCATTCAGGTCAAGACTGCAGCAGGCGATGACATCTCCGCCTCCTGGCCAGGATCCATGGACCCCTCGCGATCATGTCATTATTTTTTATATTAATGGGGAAACACTAAATCCGTAGCTATTATGCAGCGGCAGGAGAATGGGAAACCGTTATGTTTGATCTTAGGAATGGGAGTAGTTTCAGTTCTTTGGATCAAGAGCCCTTCAGTAGCGTCAGGGTATCCCCCTGCAAGAGTCGCTTATATGGGTAACAAGGAAAATGATGTCAATAGCTATTAAGCACATTTTAAAATATTTGACCACTTAAATTATTAGGATATTTGTCACAGATTATTTTTGGTATATTTTCAGCAGTTTTGAAAATATTTCCCCTCAAGGAAGGTTCCTTGATGTTGGTGAGGGGCTCTTGATTTAGGGAATTGGATCTGTGCTCCAGTTCCCCGAATTAAGCCTGAATGCCTTCCACATCCCCCCCAGGCGCTGTATAATCCTCCGGGTTTAGCGCTTCCCCCTTGATTATAATAATAATAATAATTTGAAAATATTTAAATAAGCTTTTTTCTAGT